ACACTTCAGAGAAGCAGAGCTTGAGGGCAAGGTGCTGCTAGATTGGACTGCACACAGGCTGGATGACTGGAAGTCCTGGATCAACGCAGCTGCAGCTGCTGCTGGAACCAGGGAAGCCAGGCGGCCCCAGGCTCACAGCTGTGTTCCCTGGGAAGGGTAGGGGTGCCTGACCACCATGGCATGGGGGAGGGCCCAGGGGAGTTGGCTGTCCACACACGACCTGTGATCTCTTCTACCTGGCGCCTGTCCCATACCTCAGTGTATGATCTGAATCTGGGTGCACGTCTTGAGGGGCTCCTACCTCACTGGCTTCAGGGAAGGGGCTGAGCTCTGGGTGGCACCTGACAATTGCCACTTGACACGTGCCACTTGGCCCTACCTGCTTGGGTATCTCAGCTCAGCACCAGCAGAAGTGGCCCAGAGCCCACAGCCCCCCTCTGCTTCCTGCCCACCGAGCTCCAGGGCTGGAGTCCCTTTCCCACCATCCCCTGCAGGGCTGACCCTGGAGCAGCAGGCTCTCTTTGACCTGTCCTTTCCACCCTCTGTGTAGGTGCGCTTCCTGGAGCAGCAGAACAAGCTGCTGGAGACCAAGTTGCAGTTCTACCAGAACCGCGAGTGCTGCCAGAGCAACCTGGAGCCGCTGTTTGAGGGCTACATTGAGACTCTGAGGCGGGAGGCCGAGTGTGTGGAGGCTGATGGTGGCAGGCTGTCTGCTGAGCTCAACCGTGTGCAGGAGGTGCTGGAGGGCTACAAGAAGAAGTGAGTGAGCTGCCTGGGGGCAACTCAGGGAGGTCTGGGGGAAGTTACCTGAGCCCAAGGACTGTTGGGTCCATGTCTGGGATCCATGTATTGTCCCACTTCCTCTAAGCCAGGAGGTGCTTAACAGTCAGAAGCCTGGAGCTGGAGGCTGGCCCTGTCTACCGACATCAGTTCAGATCACTATTGCCCTCTCCCCATCTCCATCTCTCAGTCCCTAAAGAAGAATTTATGTTCTCCTGCCCCTCTGAGTCCTGTTCTTAAAGCCCTGACACTGAATTAGAGCTTGCAGACTAGGGCCGAGCAGGACACTTGGTCCCTGGAGGTCTTTTGAGGATCACAGGCCACTGCGAAGCAGAGACAACATTGTCATGCACATAGATGTTCAGTGACAGAGTAGCTTCATTCTCTTGGTTCAACTACCATGGGAATGAGAAAAGGGAGATCCCTACTACCATCAAAAAAAATGGGGTTGCAGAGAGAGTGCTCAGGGGGGAAAAAAGGAAACAGGAGATCTGATGGGCCTGACACTGCAGCCCCACATCTCCCAAGCCCCATCCATAATTTTGGAGGCCAGAGGAGCAGGGGCAGGCCTGGCAATCAGGCCAAGCTTCACACCCAAGCTAGGGCTGTGCTGACAGGGCCTGCTCTCCCCTCCACCTCAGGTATGAAGAAGAAGTTGCGCTTCGGGCCACAGCAGAGAATGAGTTTGTAGCTCTGAAGAAGGTGAGTGCCCAAAGCCAGCCCACCCCTCGCACCCCCCTGCCTTGCCCCTCTGGCCTGCCTCACTGCAGCTGAGTCCCCAGAACTCTGGGGAGCTGGCCTCACAGCCCCTTGCCATCCCACACAGGACGTGGACTGCGCCTACCTGCGCAAGTCAGACCTGGAAGCCAACTCGGAGGCGCTGCTGCAGGAGATTGACTTCTTGAGGCGACTGTATGAGGAGGTGAGGGGCTCACAGCTATGGTGGGCACATGCATGGCTCTGACAGGATCCCCGACTGCCCAAACCCCACAGGAAGAACCAGGACTCCTGTGAGATCAGGCTTCAGGAAAGGGGAGAGCAAGAGGAGGGACAGAAGAAGAGGGAGAGGAGTGGAGACCCCAAACTAGACCAATTCAGGGAGCCCTGTAGGTGAGATCTCAGAGATAGCTGTGCAGGAAGCCATTGCATGTTCTCCCCCACGCCTGGAGTGCAGCAGAAGCCTCACAGCACAAGACAACCTTGGCCCTGCTGTTAGCCTTGGCCTTCAGGCAGCCGTTCCTTGCTGGGCATGGTTGGGAACATGCTGAGGCCCCCACGGTTGGCCGCTCCCCTGCAGACCACCTAAGATAAGCCAGCTCCAGGAAGTAGCTTAGGTTCTCCTGCACCTGAATAGCTCCACAAGCATTGAGAAGTGGGAGTTGTCAGAGACATATCTATACAGAAAGTTATGTCATTTCATTGTGGTAGTGGGGGTTCAGTTCCAAACTTGACAGGTGGACTACAGATTAGAGATACTGGTGG